CCGGGCCTTTCATATGCAAAAGCCTCCCTGCAGGGCTTGGGCAGGGGGGGGTCCCAGGGGGTCAACACGGCAGGCGGAGCTAGCAGTATGGCTGCTCTCAGTCCTGCCTTCAGAGGTCCTGGCAATCCCTTTGAGTGCCTCGGAGAGAAAGCTGCCCTCCAGTTCTGACCGATGCCAGACAGTCCCGTTTCTCCCGTATGAGTCTGGGTCCCCAGAGACTCGCCCGGAACTGGAGCTCAGAGCCTGAAACTCCCTCCCGATTGAAAAAGACAATCATGTCCTCAGCCACCAGCCCTCTCCACATGCACTTCTGCACCTTTGTATTTTACTTCTGCACCGCACCTCCTCTGAGTCTCGGTATGCTTTTCTCTTTCCTTCTAGTTGTAGAATGTCCACTCAGCCAGCCTTCCTGTGGTTCTGGATGATGTCTGTTCCGTCTTTTAGTTGTATTTTTGAAGTGGTTGTGCGAGGCAGCAATCTCCGGTGTTTACCTATGCCGCCATCTTGGTTTCTCCCCACAAATGTTTTGTTCTTTTGTTAGATTGATCCATTTATCATTATGTAATGCCCTTTTTGTCTCTTATTATAGTTTTTGTTTTAAAGTCTATTTTATTTGACATAACTATGGCTACTGCAGCTTTCATTTTCATTTGCATGAAATACCTTTTTCCATCTCTTCACTTTTTGTCTGTTTGTGTCTTTCAAACTGAATGAGACTCTTATAGGCAGCATATGCACAGGTCTTGTTTTTGAATCCATCCAGTCACCCTGTCTTTTGATTGTAATATTTAGTTCATTTACACTTAAAGTAATTATTGATAGGTATGTACTTATTGCCATTTTATTAATTGTTTTCTGGTTGCTTTTGTAGTTCTTTTCTGTTACTTTCTTCTTCTCTTACTCTCTTTTGTTTTTTAAAATCTTCACTCAAGGATATTTTCCCATTGATTTTCAGAGAGAGAGGAAGAGAGAAGGAAAGACAGAGAGAAATATTGATGTGAGAGAACCATATTGATTGGGTTGCCTCCTGCACAAGCCCAAACTGGGTCTGGGCCAGAGAGGAGCCTGCAACTGTGGTCACCATTGACTGGTATGAAACCTGGGACCCTTCAGTCCAATGCTCTATCCACTGAGCAAAACCAGCTATAGCTCTTGCCCTCTTTTCTTGTACATTGATGGCTTTCTTAATGTTTGTTTGGGTTCTTCTTCTTCATTTCTAACTGTATCTATTATAGAGTTTTCATTTTGGGCTGCCATAAGATTCATATATAACAAGCTATATTTATAGCAATGTTTTTTAAGTTGATTGTTGTTAAGCTCAAATGCATTCTAAAACTACATTTTTTACTCACCACCATGTTTATGGAAGGCAGCTATGCTCACCACTATACCACCAACGCTCCACCATGTTTATGTATTTGATATCATATTTTACATCTTCTCTTGTGTGTGTATCCCTTAATGTATTATGTGTTACACATGCTTTTACCACTTTTTTATGTTAATCTTCCTTCTAGCTCAGGGGTGGGCAAACTTTTTGACTCGAGGGCCACAATGGGTTCTTAAACTGGACCGGAGGGCCGGAACAAAAGCATGAATGGAGTGTTTGTGTGAACTAATATAAATTCAAAGTAAACATCATTACATAAAAGGGTACGGTCTTTTTTTTTTTTTTTTTAGTTTTATTCATTTCAAACAGGCCGGAACCGGCCCGCGGGCTGTAGTTTGCCCACGGCTGTTCTAGCTTTATAATTGGTTGATCTGCTACACTTACAACTGTTTGCCTTCATCAGTGCAACATTTTTCTTTCCAATATTTTGTTGTTTTTAGTTTTGGTATTTTCCATTTAAAGAAGGTTCCTTAGCTTTTCTTTTAATGCTTGTTTAGTAGTGAGAACTCTTTCATCATTTGCTCGTCTTGGAAACTCTTTATCACTACTTTAATTCTGATGCTAACTTTTCTGGATAGGATGTACTTGGTTGTAGGTTTCCGCCTTTCATCACTTTGAATATTTTGTGCTGTTACCGTATCTGCTGAAAAATCAGCTGATGATCTTATGAAGTATCCCATGTACATAGCTAACTGTTTTTCTCTTGCTGCCATTAAGATCCTTTAACTTTTGGCATTTTAAATATGATGTGTCTTGATATGGGCCTCTTTGGGTTCATGTTGTTCAGAAGCCTCTGTGCTTTCTGAATTTGGATGTCTGTTTTCCTCACCAGGTTGGGGAAGTTTTCAGTCATTATCCCTTTAAATAGATTTTACATCCCTTTCTCTCTCTCTTCTCCTTCTGGGAATCCAATGATTTAAATGTTGACACACTTTATGTTGCCCCACAGGTCCCTTAAACTAACCTCATTTGTGATAATAATATTTTTTTTTCTTTTTGCTGTTCTTATTGACTTTCACTACCTTGTCTTTCAGCTTGCTGACTCATTCTCCTGCCTCAACTAATCTGCTGTTGTTCCCTCTGGAGTATTTTTATTTTCATTTCAATTATCATATTCCTCAGTTCTGATTGGTTGTTTTACATATTTTTCTATGTTTTTGTTGAAGTTCTCACTGAATTCATCTGTTCTTCTCCTGAGTTCATTGTGCATACTTAGAACTAGTGTTTACTTTTGACTCTTTATCGGGTAAATTGCTTATGTCTTATTCATTTACTAGTAGTTCTCATCTGTTTGTTTATGTTTCCTGATCTTTTCTTTGGAGTACATTTCTCTGTCTCTCATTGTGGCTCTCTGTGTTTGTTTCTATGAATTAGGTGAAACAGCGACCTCTCCCAACCTTGAAGTAGAGACTTGTTTAGGAGCCTCTCCTCTGTAGACTGTGTGAGCCAGGTGTCTTTAGCAGGCAAGCCAGAGCTGGAGTGGGAATGGGCCAGGGGGAGCGCTGGGGGTAATGGGCCCTGAGCTGAAGCTGCAGTGGGAGTGGGCCATGAGGAGCCCTGAGAGGAAGGGGCCCTGAGCTGGAGCTGGAGTGGGAGTGGAAGTCCTGGGGACAAGCCACAGAGCTGGTATGGGCCTGGGGCCTGGGGACTGTGCCTTGTTTGCACCCTGACCACCAAGTTTGGGAGGCTGAAGCACCTGAATTATGTCCTTCCCATGAGACCTAAGGGGAGGGAGAGTGTCAATGAATGACTGGCTCTGTACAATGCCCCTGACACCACACTTGGTTCCTGCAGTTCCCCTCCCACTTGCAAATGTTCTCAGTTAGTAAATGGATTTCCCCCCTTATAGTCTAGGTGCCCTTTCAGCCACTGTTTTTCACTTTACCCACAGTGGGCGAGTCTGCACATACACCCTCAGGGACCCCTGCCCACTGCAGGTCAGTGCTGGGATGGGGTTGCCATGGTGCCATGTCTCTGTCTCTCCCCGCTGTGTCTATGGGGTTTCTCTCTTGTTGGTCGAGCAGAAGTTGTTCAGTCAGCCCTCATTTCCTCTCCAGGGGGAGCTGCTCTGTCTGCAGGTGGAAATTTAACATGCAATGGGGAGAGGTGAGCTCAGGCCTTTCCTGCACTGTCGTCTTGGACTGGGAACCCCTGATGGAATTACTGTTTTAGCTGTTTCCCATCATCTACTTCTCGTCAGTTTGTTTCTATTGCTATAGTTTGTTGTTATTTTGTTTTTATGTATTGCCTTTTAAAACTTTTGAATTAAATTATTACATAAAATATTTGAATGTTCCTCAAGTTAAAACTATTAAGTAAGATGTATATTCAGAAAAGTACAGATTCCTTCAACCTATTCTGTCATTTTGCCCTGCAGACAACCACTTAAAAAATCCATTCCTTGTTTCTATAGATAGATGACTGGTAGGTAGAAAATAACTAGGCAGATGAAATGAACAGGTTGATCTATATGTCCTTTCTCTCATCTATCTTATTAAATAAAACGCTGCATAAAACTCTGCTGCTCCGTGCTCACACGCATTGGGAGGCCACCCCACAGGAGTCTCTCACGTTCCCTCCAGGGCAGAGGATTGCACGCTGGTGGCACATCAGGGAGCCACACGCTCCCCTGGGTACCCAGCAGTGGCCCTGGGTGATGCTCAGATAAGGTCCACACAGGGTTTCCCGTGACAGACAGTGAGTTTGCCACACAAGCTGGAGGACTCAGAAGCGCACCTTTCCCACTAGAGTGGCAGCTCTGTCCTGATGGTCTCTGGGACCTGCTCATGGGGAAGGTGCATCTCAAAGCAGAGTCAGCACAGCAGGCATTTTATCTGAGTCACAAAAAGACTGCAGTGTGGAAGCCACCATTAGTCAAATAAAGGGGACTTCAAGAGGCACCGGGTTTAGGTACCTTCTTTTAAAAAATTAGAGCCAAAGAGTGAAACGAACATGATTATAGAAACAGTGAAGACATATCCTTACAAGTGGCCTGCTTTTCTTTTCGTTATAAAAAAGAAATATTTTTTATTGATTTCAGAGAGGAAGGGAGTGGGAGAGAGAGATAAACAGTGTCCCAAAATTCAGGCAAAAAGTACCCTGGCTTAAAATTCAAAATCTTGAGTGAATTTTGGGACACACTTTATAAACATCAATGATCGAGAGAATCATTGATCAGATGCCACCTGCACACCCTCCACTGGGGATTGAGCCAAAATCCCAGGCATGCGCCCTACCCGGAATTGAATGCTGACCTCCTGGTTCATAGGTTGACACTCGACCACTGACCACACCAGCGGGGCCAACCTGCGTTTCTTATACTTTCTGTCCCCTCTGTATCTCAGGGGAAAGGAACCTGTGTGCTTGTCTGAGAAACACCAACGTAGGAGACCACCATGTTCAAGTCCATGGCAGGCTCTCTCCTGGCTCAGGAACCAGGTGAGAAAGGAAACACAGGAGGGAAAACTCATGAAAAAGCAGGACGGGAACAAGGAAAGCTTTTCTTCCTACTTCCTGCCCTTGAAGCCTGTGAGGCAGATGATTTCACTCCATATTTAATAGAGGAAAATTTTTACAAAAAAATGTGGACAGAAGTGAGCTAAGGTGCACAGCAGACAGCGAGGGTTAAACACACAGGGACAGGGAGGGATGGAGCTAAGGTTCTGCAGTCAACACTGGGGCCTCCAGGTCCAGGGCGGGCAGGAACCAGCAGGGAGGAGGTGCTGGGGGGTCAGGAGCCAGGACCCAGCCAGAGCCCCAGGCGGCTCTCCTTGTGGAGTGAGAGCCCAGCAGGAAACCTCTTCAGGCTGCAAAGGGGGCCTGACAGAAAGTCTCTCCTCTCCATGTCTCCATGGCCACCTCAGCTCAGGAGTCCTGCAGACAGAGGACAGTGCTGCTCCCAGGCCCAGCCAGCAGGGGCGCTGCCCTCCCAGGCCTCCTGCTGTGGCTCCCAAGTGAGAAGAAAAGCTCTGAGGCCACAGGAGCCACAGCTGCTTTAGAGCTGCCTCTCACCAGGCGGGAGGAGACCCTGCAGTGTAAGAGGCCAGAGCCACACCCAGGCTCCCCGCTATCTGTCCCCTGGCTCGTCCCCTGCACCTTCTGTTCTAGGGAAACCGAATGCGTCCCTAAGAGAGGATTAAAGAGCGTTACCTGTGGGCTGAAGTCCAGAGTGTCCTGGGAAGAGAAGGAAGATGCTACTTAAAAGATATGAAGGTAAGTGTGTCCCCAAACACAGGGTCCCCGCCCAGGCCACCTGAGCTTCTGTAGCAGCACCCCCACCCGCTGACACCAGAACTGGGACGAGAGCAGAAGCTGAGAGCAGTGGCCCCGAAGCCATCACAGTCCAGTGTCATTAGTGACCACAGGGCCTGCTCCTCCATGTGCCCCAGGATCTGCACCCAAATCCCATGCGTGTTAACCCCTCTCTATCCCCACAGCCATGACTCCTCATGTCTCCACCCTAAGAACCGGGAGCTGGTTATTTCTGCATTTCCAGGGAACGTGAGACCGACAGGGAAAGAGAGGCTTCTATGGAGTTGCCATACCCAGAGCTCACCCAGCAAAGCCCCAGTTGTCCCCACTGAATTGGGGCCAAGGCTGCCAGCAGGCCCCTTACCTTTCTGAGCCCTGAAGTAGATGAGCAGCCCCGTCCCGAGGAAGAGCAGCCCCAGCAGGAAGCCCCCAGCTCCACTCAGCACCTTGCTCTGTGTGGATCCAGACTGGGCTCCTGAGAGAAGAAGCTGCTTTCAGTGGGTTTTAGCCAAACCAACTTCTGTACTGGAGACCCTGAGATTGAGAGCTTGAGGGGTGGGAAAGGGGGTGGGGGAGGGGTGTTGCCCTAGAAGAAGCAGAACAATAGCCATCTGCGGGAAATGACGGAGGTCACACTGAGCAGGTACAAGGCCCAGGCACTGGCCTCAGGTCCCCTCACACCCGACCCAAGGCCACTGCTTTGGCCTCTGAGGCTGCGGAGCCCAGGGCTGGTGACCTCCAGGACTTGGCCCGGGTGACAGAGCCGCAGACAGCAGAGCAGATGGGGCTCTCCCGCGGCAGAGGACACTCCTCTTCCCAGATCACAGTGGGCAGCTCAGCACAGGCAGAAGCACCCGCCCAGCCCACAGGGGATGGTGCCCAGGGCCAAGGGGCACCATGACGGGGAGAGTGTGGGAAATTCAAAGCAGGGCAGGCATGGCGGCCTCACAGGGCTATGGGTGTTCACAGAAGCAATCACAGGGCTACCCTGTGGCCTGTGCAGAAGGAGAGACAGAGCAAAGGAAAACGGGGTGTGGGGAGAGGGGACCCTGACCCTCAGGGACAAGCAAAGGCCCCTGTGGGGGGAAGGTGTGTGAGGTCAGAGGGCGTCTCACTCCATTCCACGGTGACAGGGCTGGTGCTGCTGGGGTGCCGCACTTGGCAGGTGTAGACCTCCCCGCTCCGGGGAACTGTCTCCAGCATCACCAGGGTCTGGAAGGTCCAGTCCCCGTTCCGGATCAGGCCCGTGGACATCACCCCGGCCTCCTCTTCCTGGCCGTTGCGCAGCCAGCGGACCTCAATGGGGCCCGGATAGAAGCCGTTCATGGAGCAGACCAGGAGGCTGTGGTGCTGCAGGTGCTGGGTCTTTGCAGGATACACGGTCACTGTGGGCTTAGCTAGGACAGAGAAGGCGGAGGGAGACGTGAGCAAGACATGCAGGCCCCTTGGTGGCTCCCTTTTGGCCTCGTCTCCTGTCCCAGGCTCCAGGCCCTGGCAGGTCCCCCTCAATCACCCTGTGGCCCAGCAGTAGGTACTGACATTGGCCTTGAATCTCTGCCTACAGCTCAGGCCACTGGATTTGAGAGACATGGAGGAAATTTGGGGGATTATTCATGTCTTGAAACAGTTACTCATTGTTGAATTGAAGAGTTTACAAATCTTTGCGAGGCACAGAGTGTGTGAGTTCCAGTGTGATTTCTGGGGCTGGGCTGCCTGGGTCACATCCAGGCTGTGCCTCTTACTGGCTGATCCTGGGAGATCCTCTCTGCTCAGCTCCTCACCTGCAAAGGGGGTGATAATACTAACTCACCACTTAAGGACATATGAGGATCAATGGGCCTAAAATATGTACAACAGCAGCTGGAATGTAGCCGTCACTGCATGCCAGCTGTTTATCACATATGGAGAGAGAATATAAGGAAAGCAGAGGGAGAAACTGGGGAACAGCTTGGGGAGGTGGGGACTCAGGGTGTGAAGTCCTGGGAATGCGATCACACCTGAGAACACAGAGATGGTTCCCCTGGAAGCAGGAAGTACGGGGATTCCCTAGCTCCGGGGGCTGAGTCCTGAGGGAGAGGGAGGAGCAGGGCAGCACTCATTATAACACTTACAGTGATACTCATTGAGCAACCCGCTCCTTCTCAAAAGAAGCCGAATTTTTATTGGGATTCCTATCGTTTTATAATTGTCTCTCTTTTCAAGTTGACATTTGAGCTCAAGGCAGGGCGTGGGACTCATTCATATGTTTGCTTCCAGCCTAAGACCAGGCCCATTAATACAGATTTTGATGAGGAAGAGGAGGAGGAGGAGGAGAAGGAGGAGGAGGAGGAGGTGGAGGAGATAAAGTAGAGGATGAGGAAAAGAAGGTGGCAGAGGAGGAGGAGGAACTTGGGGGAAACATTTTCTACCAAAAAGGGTAGATTTAAGATTGATGGTAAATCATTGCTTGCAATTTCTGAGTGCATTTCATTATGCTTTTTAGAAATATATTTTATTGATTTTTTACAGAGAGGAAGGGAGAGGAATAGAGAGTTAGAAACATCAATGAGAGAGAAACATCGATCAGCTGCCTCTTGCACACCCGCTCCTGGGGTTGTGCCGCAACCAAGGTACATGCCCTTTACCGGAATCGAACCTGGGACCTTTCAGTCCGTAGTCCATTTGCCAATGCTCTATCCACTGAGCCAAACTGGTTAGGGCTGCACTTCATTATCTTAAAGATGTTGAAATTCTTAACATCCTATCTAATAATAGACAAAGATGGTAACTGACCCTACCTTCTCTACACCTCCCATTGGCTAATCTGCGAGATATGCAAATTAGCCACCAACAAAGATGGAGGCTAATTTGCATACTACAGGCAGGGCGGGACAGCCCTAGCCACCATCTGGGCCCTGTGTGAAGCCCTGGGCGGAGGGATTTAGGCGGCACAATTGCGATGCCTAAGCTCCGCCCCCAGCCGGGACCCCCATGTGCCACCTAAGCTTCGCCCCCAGCTGGACCCTGTGTGCCTTCTCATACCAGCACTGCCTAAGCCCCGCCCCCATCCATGACACCCTGGCGATTAGAGAGCAGGAAAGTGCCACCCACAGGAAGCATCCAGCAGAGCATGACCCCAGGTGCCCTGGTGATCCAGCAGGCAGCACCCCATGTTGGCCACAGCTCAAGGGAGAGTACAACACACAGTGGAGGCCAGGATCCTGAGAGATCAACAGAGAGGGGCGCCGTGGTTTGGAGCAGGCCCCCAGCAGAAAGACACATACACACACACACACACAGCCTACTCTGAGCCTCTAATATTGCTGGGGGCAGACCCCCAGAGGGGTCACACACACACACACACACACACACACACACAAACGATGCCAGACTGTGGCCATCAGTAGGACATCCACTGAGGGCTCCCAGACTGAGGGGCAGGCTGGGCTGAGGGAACCCCACCCCCCAGTGCATGAATTTCGTGCTCCGGGCCTCTAGAGGAAAGTAATAAAACAGAATGAAAACACAAACCAGGGCCTGGAGAAAATGCTGAATTCATGGCAGCAAAGTGTCCGTCCTGCTGCCTAGAGAACCCGGAAAATCACTGAGAAAAAGGCCCGGACCCCAGGGATGACGGACAATAGGCCATTCCTAGAGCAGGAATAGTCATTAGCCAACACGTACGTGGAAAATGTTCAAGAACCTTAGAATTCAAAGAAGGATAAATTTAAAGTAAAAAACAAATTTTCAAGTGAGTATTTGGCAATATTGAAAAAGATTTAACAAAACAGAATGCAAAATAAATTGTCAGAACTCTAAACAATTAACATGTAATTACTTAAATACTGTTAGGACTGTCTAGATGTAACATCAGCGTGTTAATTAACAAAATTACAATTAGACCCTGGCTCACCATCACCCCCTCTGTAAACACAGGGGCACTGAGGGGGGAACAAGACACTGAGACCTGAAAGGAGCTCAGAGAGGCCAGAGGTGCCTTGGAGGCCCCGCCCCTCACACCCAGCCTGACCCTCCGCCCAGGGACAGGCTTGTGCACCCAGCACCCCTATTCCAGGGCTCAGGGTCAGGGGGGGTTTGGCCAAGACAGACCGACTCCCTCCTCCCACCTCTCCCCTCCCCCTCAGCTGCACCCCAAACCCTCCCCCGACTGGACAGGACTGGGCACCCCCAGAATCGCCCTACACAAGACAGAACCTCAGGGTCCCCACAGCCGCCCTCAGGCCCCTCAGGGGTGCTCCTCACAGCCCTGTGTGTGCAGCCCCCCCCATTCCACCCCTCCCACCCCCCGCCCCCTCCCCCGCCCCTGCGCTCACTTTGCCGAGGCACCAGGAATCCCTCAGACACCCTGTAGGCCGCTCTGCATCTGTCCACCCCGGCCCGCATCTGCTCCATGAAGTCCTTCCTGCTGTTCAAGTGCTCTGCGATGGGCCGCCCCAGCTCGGTCACCGCGCGGTACTCCCCCACGTCGCTGTCGAAGCGCAGGTACTCCTGCCCATTGTAGATGTATCTCTGCAGGTACCGCACCCGCTCCGTCCAGTTGGAGAACTGACACTCGGCCTTAAGCTGCTCCAGGAAATGCGCTGCGGGGACAGGAAGGACCCATCACGCTGGTGAGAGAAGATGGCGATGCCGCCCAGTGCGGAGCGCCCAGGCGGTGGGGACACAGGACCCGGCACCCCCACTGCCAGCACCCGGGGCCCCTCCTCTGGGGTTGGGAGGCCGCAGGGCAGGGAGACCCCTGGGACCCTCAGCCTCTGGGGACCCACTGGGCTGCCCCGCGGGCTCCGGGCTCCAGGCTGGGGAGGACTTGTGCCATCACCGCCTCCTCCTAGACGCCCCCCCCCCTCACGCCCAGCCTCTCCCTTCCCCACACCCGCCTCCTCCTGTCACCCCCTGGGCAGGGGACCTGGTGCCAGGCCCCAGCTGCCCGGGACCCAGGCAGGTAACCAGGCATCGCCTTCTGCTCTGCAGCTTAGAATTCACCAAAGTGCCCATCACACCCAACCACAGGCGCATCCACACAGGAGGGAGATGGCAGGACAGGGGCCCCTGGAGCAGGGACCACAGGGTCCAAGTTACTGAAATTACTTGTGGGGTCACCACGATTCATGACTCATAAAGGAGAGATGTGGAAGGTCAGGAGAGATATGATGACCACAACTCATGACGTTTTGACAAACATCGCAGAAGGTAAAAATAAAAATGAAGGTTTTAAACTTCAAGTGATTGAATGGATTCAACAAGAAAGTGGTGACTTTGTGTAACTGTCTGGTTTTTGTTGTTGTTGTTTTTTCTTAAACCGTGAAGAGCTGCATTGGAAGGTGCGTGTGTATAAAGTGTGAGTCTAGAATTTTTAGAAACAGCCGGTGTCCAGCAGTGTTCTCACCCTCACACTATTGACGTTTGGACCAGATGATTCTGTGAGGTTGGGGTGGGTGTTGTGTACACAGTGGGCTGCACTCGGCATCCCCACCAGCTGTCAGAGAAACCCCCGTGTGACAGCAGACATGGCTCCAGAAATTGCCAGACATTTCTGGGTTGGGAAGAGGGGGAAGGGGTGGTGAATCATCTGAAAAATCTGGGGTGAAAAATCCACTGTTGATGATGCAGCAGCTGGGAATCGCAATAAAAATTTAGCCAATATTGTGTCTGTGGAAAGGCTTGGTCTATATGACAAGTATGTTCTTTAGAAATCTGGTTCCAGTGCAGACTATTTTCCAGCAAAATAAACTTGTTCAGGACCAAGATCTACCTGTTTCTTTGCCTTGTTACCCAATCACCGAGTCATCATTTGTCCTCCACATTGTCTTCTTTCATAATATCCCGGCCACTGGCCCACTGCTTGTCCACAGGAGCAGCTACAGCCACGGCCATTTGATTCCTGTTCAAAGTCCCAACTAATTCACGTTCTAACCGCCTCCTGCTCCCAGTAATACCAGGAGGCATCAGGTTACCAGCCTTGGCCGGATGTGGACTCTCATTTCTATAGGCAGGTCCCTCAGAAGGGGCGCAGCTGAGATGACCCCTCACAGAGACAGATTACAAACAGGAGCAGGTCCCAGCTTTATATGGAGACCTTCAGGGAGAAGTGATGGCAGAGGGGAGGGCACTCTGGTCAGACTCAGTCTATGTAACTTTTCACAAATTCTCTAGCACCTTCCTGACACCTGAGAAGCGGAAAAACAAACGTGTGAGTTGCTGTTCACTGTCGCCTGTGTGGTCAGCACTATCAGGCCAGCCTCATTGGCCCACCTGAAAGGCCGCCAGATAAAGCAAAAAAATTAATAATTCCAGCACATGTGGATTTCAGATAAATAATTGTTGTTTCTCTGAAATTCAGCTTAAGTCGGGCATCCTCTCTTTCCTTTGGCAACACAAGCCCACCCACTGATGGAATCTGAGGCGGAGGTGTGTACTTAAACTTCCTTGTGTTCCTCACGTGCTCATAGCACTTGCTTACATGGAACTTCTCAAGTTGTAAATGCAAAATGGATGTAAATTCCTCCTAAATATTGGAACTAGCAGCCCTTGCACCTGCTGCCCCCAACCCTGAGACACACGCTGGCCCATGGGAACATCAGAAATCTCAGCAGCAAGTCAGACCCAACCAAGCCCCTGTTCACAGTGGGGGTTGAAGCCCAGGCTCTAGAATGAGGAATGTAAATTAGAACATGAGCTTTCCCACTGGGTCAGATTGTAACACCCATGGGCCATTTTTTAAAATCTCTAAAATAGATTTAATGATATTGTAATTCTCACAGGCTATTGTTAAGTGTGGAATTACATACTGATTCTTTCTAGTGCTGATCATATAAGCACTTGGTATTTTAATTCTTATAACCCCTAGGAATGCAAGCTCATAAGATCTTTCTACTCCTTAACTTCCTAGAGCAAATAATATCTTCATCACCATTTGGCAATTGTCTTTAATTAACTTTACCACTAAATGTCATTTTGATCACAAGGACAGAAACATTGGTCTCTGTATATAAGGGGATATACATGCACCTACTATGAAAGGACTATGCTGACATAAAAGAGAGGGACTTTCTAGATACTGAGACCTAGACTATGTCACCTGGTTCTACAACTAACCACGTGACTCTGAGTAAGTTGCTTAAACTCTCTGAATTAGATTCCATGGATTATTGACTTTTAGCCCCATGGGATGTAAGCAAACTTCACACTCTCTCTCTACTCCTGCTCAATGTATATAATTTGAACCCATGAAATTGCTAACATTTGACTATTTTTAACTAAAAACACAGAATTTCATATAATTTATCTCTACTAGTTGAGTCCCTACCTTTGAGCTCAGACCAGAGAAAGGAAGATGTAGGAGAAACTGACACACCGTGCGGCAGAACAGAGAGGACAGGGTGCAGAGAGCAGTACAGAAAGGTTCAACATGGATCCGTAATGAGCACTAACCTGGCCAGGCATTCAGAAGATGCCTTAAGACTCAGCGGTTCTCAACCTGTGGGTCCTGACCCCTTTGGCGGTCGAATGACCCTTTCATAGGGGTCACCTAAGACTACCCTGCATATCAGATATTTACATTACGATTCATAACAGTAGCAAAATTACAGTTATGAAGTAGCAACGAAAATAATTTTATGGTTGGGAGTCACCACAACATGAGGAACTGTCTTAAAGGGCCAGGAGGTTGAGAACCACTGCCTTAAGTTCTTTAAGGCATCAAAGACCACCCCATAGATGCCCCTCTCTGTAGGGTCCTTCCAAGTACTAAGAATCTCTGCTTCAGCTCTGGGGGGCTTTCCACAGGAGGAAGAGAGAGCACTAACCCCACTTCTGTCAGAGAACCTCTATTTCAGGGGCACTGGCCTTAAAAACATTGGAGTTTAGAGGGAAAGGAAAGGAGATGGTGGGGAGGCCCCTGAATACATCTCACATAGTAGGGAGAGGCACCAACATCACAGATTCTGCTGAGGACAGAACACAGGGTCCTCAAAGAGAGACCCCCTAATTCCTTTGACTCCCCATAAAATGTCAGAGAAACTTTCCTTTGGGGAATAACTCAACACAATAAATGGAGCACTGGGTGGGAATCAGTCTGAGATCATTATTTCTCAATCCTCTCAAGACCCCGATGGAAGGGGACACAGGCTGGGGAGGGTTACTGGAAGCGAGGTGAGAAGAAACGGCTGAGATACATGGAGCCCCTTGCACATCTCATAGTGGTGAGCACCAGCCCCTTTTGTGGTGGAAAGAATTGGGATCCATATGATAAAGGCAGGTGGCCACTGAAGAAAATGCCACCATTTTCTAATGGACATGGCCTGGACATGGTGACAAAGCTAATTCCTTTCTTCCTCCCCCACAACAGCTCACCCCCAAGGTGCACTTACGTGGAGTGTCCCTGGCCTGAGCCAGGGGAGGGCTCAGTGCCATCAGCATCACCTTCAGAGCGGCCATCCAGGAGCCTCCGGGGAGCCGCAGACACACCATGCTGGAGCTCAGAGAGGACAGGGGCAGGGAGCAGGGGGGTCTCACTCAGTGAGGGCTGTGACCCTTCTCCACCCACATCCCAAATAATACCAACTAGGGAACTCATTTGTTTGTTCCTGGATTGGGTCGTCTCAGTACTGAGAACCAACCAGCATCAGAGATGATAGCATCATCAGTTGCTGGTCAGAGATTCAGTATGAAGGTCCTCTTTTAAAAGTTAGAATTTCCTGCATTAATAAACTATTTTAACTTAATGCTTTAAAGGTTTGGTCTGGTTGTGTCAGAAACACTGTATTGGGTCCTATTGTGAGGCAGCTCTGCGCTGGTCAGTGATGAGCACACAAGTTGGAGCCTTTGGGGAGCATTCGCCTCTCTCACTGCAGACAGAGCCCTTTACACAAATGGATGAGTGAGTGTGCTGGGAGCTGAGGGTGAGGGAGGTGATTGCAGGTTAGGAGGCCTTCCATTTGTCCTTTTGCACCACAACTTAGTGTTACAGATTTGGGGAAATGACTTAGCTTCTTACAGTTAAAGCCACTGTGACCTTTCAGGTGTTTCAATACTGGGAAAGGCTGTGATTCTGGGGACACCTCAGGAGCAGTTTCCCCTAGTAACTGATGACATGACAGGCTGGTAGCTGCTGATTGGAGAGTATAATCGGTGACTCTTTACAGGGAGGGATGTCACTGACTGAAGGAAAATGAAAGTTATTCAATAATTATCCTGAGTGAAAGGTTTTTCAGGTTTCTCTCCTGGTGCTGTCACTGAGCTCAGGGCCCCTCCGGAACACACTGGAGAAAGGGGCCAGAGGAGGCGATCTGTGTGGGATGGAGGGAAAGTGCCTTTGGACAGCACTTAACCCACCAGTGTGATCAGCCAACTGTCCAAACCAAAGTGCGCAAGGGACTGGGAGACTGAGAAGGACTCAAAGCCAGCCTGTGGCCCAGCAGCTCTGCGTTAGAATAGCTAGTATTTCATGTGAAAAGCATTCAGTTCTTTACTCCTGGTCCCCATTAGGATTTTCTCATTTCCTTGGGGGCATGAACTCTTATTCAGTCAACTGCTCTTGCTTTATTCTATGAAAAGGTAGAAGGAGACTTTGCTAATGAAATTATTACAGAGTGCTCAGGAAATGGAGCTTGATGGGAAACTAGGAAGTACATCCTTTGATGTCATCAAGTGACTTAGAGCATCTAGTTCTACGTTAGATCATCAGCACACGTTATACTAGCATACATGTACCTCTCAGCTCCTCAGTGGACTTGAAAGGACAGCTGTCCATTGAAGTACCGTGTTAACTCTCACGCCCCAGTTCTGATGCGCAGTCCTCCCCGTGCCTGCATGTGTCTAGTGACAGGATACTGACCATGCTGCAGCGAAATGACTGCAATTGAGGGGGTGAAATGGAGGAAGATGGTCAAAAGGCACAAACTTCCAGCTAAGAAATAAAGAAGTCATCAGGATGTTATGCACAGCTATGAGGGTAGATCTTAAAGCAGTGGTTCCCAACCCTTTTTTGGCCATGCCCTACCTAAGCTTCTCTAAATCCTGTGACATAGGATTCCTATTATTCAAAAAGTGAGCTCCTGTTCACGCGAAGGAAGCCTAAAAGGCCATTAATTTGGTCTAAACAAGCTTCCAAGAACACGGTCTCCATGAAAAAGAAAAAATAAAAGAACGAAAGGACAGTTGAAGTACTGAGGAAGAAATGACTAAGAAATTGTTTTTAAAAAGTAATATGAAGTGATATAAAAAATAGCAAATAAAGTTTCAAAACATAATTCTAGTAGAGAACTGAAATGCATAAATATGTCACAATATATATTTATATACTGCATAGGAGGCCCCTAGAACCATAAGAAATGCAAAACATTCACTGTTAATAACTCATTCTTGAATTGTTTCCGTGAAAAATCAAACTGCCGCCTGTGGGGCATGTGCCCAACATCGGGAACCACTGTCTTAAATATTCCCATCACTAGAAAAGTTTAGTAACTATGTGTGGTGTACATGTTACCTAGACTTACTGTGGTGTCATTTCCAATGTATACAAACATACAATCGTTACATTGTACACCTGAAACTAATATAATGCCATATGCCAATAATACCTCCATATAAAAGTGAGTAAAGTCTATTGAGTAATTCTGAACATTTTACTCTGTACCCAGGATATTCAGGGGCTTTCTTTGAAACAGATTTTAGTTTAATTCTCACATAATCTCGGTGAGCTAAGTGCCCTTCGTCTCTACAGTTGGAGAGAATAGAGTGATGGCGGTTGAGGACCTTTGCAAGGACACAGGCAGTAAAGGTGCCCTCCAGGTTGAGCCCAGCGATGTGTTCAGACCCACACGCTCAGCCACTGCACCGACCACCTCGCATTCACCTTCTGAAGGGACTGTTCCTCCAGGGAAAGCACTCCCCTCCCTCACTCACAGATGTGCCGCCCACAGCTACTCCTTTCAGTGAGCGACCGCATTTCCCACAAACTGAGGCGGCTGCAGCGGAGCAATTCCGGTTCCTGGACAAGATGCCCGCCTCACCATGGTCCCCTTCTCTGGAAATGACAAGCTGTGTATTTATCTTATGTAACCACACCCAGAGCTCCCCACACTCCTTCCCCTTCTTAGAGACAACGGTGCCCCCAATTCCTAAATCCAACCTACTGTTCTCATCGGGATTTCAGGCTTTTCAGCATGTTAAGTGCAAATTAGACCCCCTGAAATCAGACCAGAAAGTGTGTCTCACTTACTTTGGGAAAATATGTTTCTGTTAACGTGGAAAAGTCAGAATTCCTTGGCGAGGTTGGGAAGAAATCACTCCTGTTCCTGGATTTGAGAACAAACTCTGTCCCTAGACCCCAGTGGGAATTCAGTACTGTGGGCAGCTGTACAGAGGCAACTAGGAGAATATCACTTTTAATTTAGCAAACACACAATCATATCCTCCTCAAAATTTCCTAATCTTGATGTGTGACAATCTGGAGAAGCCTAGCTAAGGTCCATCTCAGATTTGGATGAAAAAGAACGGCAAACAAAGCAATTCTATATGAAGAATACACTCAGATGTAGTCAAAGAGAACATATCAAAACATGTTTAAATAAATTTGACATAAAATTTACAAATCACACCAATTTATTTTTAAAAAGAATGGACAGCCTTGCTGGTGTGGGTCAGTGGTTGAGTGCCGTATTGTGCACTGAAAGGTGGCCGGTTTGATTCCCTGTCAGGGCACATGCCCAGGTTTCGGGTTCAGTCCCCGGTCCTGTGTGTACAGGAGTCAAGAGATAATGTTCCTCTCTCACATCAATGTTTCTGTCTCTCTTAAATCAATTTTTTTTTTAAAAAAGGATGTATCAACAACTGTGGATTAAATTCTGTATGCTGTCCAGTTATGTGTGACAAAACCTGCTCCTTTTAATATCCTCTATCTCACACTTTTCCTCCGATCTGCCTCAATAGAAGGAGATTCAAGGAAAGCAATGTAACAGCTGCCCCCACACCGTGCAGGTGAACCCCAGGCCGCACCTCCCACTGAGCAGGAGGGGAGGCAGCCCTGCTCTGCTCCGCAGGAAACTTGGGGTCCATCCTAGGAAAAGGCTGTTGACTTGGTTTCTGGGGGACAGTGGTTGTTAGTTCAGAAGTCGTACAGTCTCTGATCTTCATTCTTGGGGCCACAGCTTTGTGTTTAAGGAAAATATATCACAACATCTTGGGAAGAAATGAGTAAAATCAGATGCACAGATTTTTAAAAATATATAGTTTTAGTTGCTTTCAGGGAGAAAGCGAGAGGGAGAGAGACTTAGAAAATCAAATGGGGGGTTCAAGCGTGAAACCCGGGCATGTGCCCTGTCCAGGAATCAAACCTTGATTTGGTTCATAGGTCGATGCTCAACCACTGAGCCGGCTGGGCCAGAAACACAGATTTTTGTGGAACAACAGGCAGCTTGCCATCGGCAGCATCACACAAGGTTTGAGCCCTGCCCGTGTCACCACATGGACTCATTTGTGCTAAGCCTGAAAGGTTGCAATACACCTGGGAAATGGGCGTTTCGTGACCAGCACAGGTAGCCTGGAGTGTCTGCCTCTTGTTCGAGTTGTCTCAGAACATTCTCATCGTTTCCAGAAAGCTCCCACCGCTAATTTGGAATTTAAAGTGAGAAGCAGGTTATTGGTCCCTATAGAAGTGGGCCACGCTAGCGCTCAGCATGGCTGGCAGCCCTGCCCGGTGAGATGCAGCGATGTCCTCCCGCAGGGACGTTGGATGGACCCGTCTTTCCACGAAGCCGGTTGGCAGGGCTTCCTCAGCTTCTGAAGTCCATTCTCTGACCTCACTGATCTGCGCTTCATAACCCTCAGCCCAGCGCGTGCTTTAGAACCAGAGTGTGTGCAGGGAGGGGCCCAGGGAGAGCAGCAGAGGGAGCTCACAGGCCCGCCCACTGGTGCTGTCAGCAGGGGTTTCCCTTCCTTCTCTCTGACCCAGGCCTGTGGTAACTGTGTCGTGGAGAAGAATCCAATACAAATAGTGGCCAGGTTATTTTTCAAAATTCTACTTTGTGTTCCACTAGCCACTGCCCAGTCATTCCAGGTCTGTACCCCTGTGCCTGGAATGTTGTTTCTTTTATTCAAAACCAGAGGCCCAATGCACGAAATTTGTGCACTCAGGGCGGGGGGTGGTTCCTCAGCCCAACCTGCACCCTCTCGCAGTCCGGGAGCCCTCGGGGAATATCCGACTGACCACTTAGGCCAGCTCCCCGCAGGGAGCATCTGCCCCCTGGTGGTCAGTGTGCATCATAGCAACCGGTCGTGCTGCCATTTGGTAGATTTACATATTACCCTTTTATTATGTAGGATAAATAATAAAATATTTGCCAGTGATTTTTGGATAGTCCATTCTTATAGAGAAGTAAGTTTCTACTCAGAAAGAGTAAACTAATACTCCCTGTCCTGGGGGCAGTAGTTAAAATAAGAGCAAAGAGGACAGTTAACAAGAAATGATCTCTGTCCTCGCCGGTTTGTCTCAGTGGACAGAGTGTTGGCCTGTGGACCCAAGGGTCCCAGGTTCAATGTG